GGGGGGGGGGGCGGTGGCAGAAGGAGGTGAAGCATATGTTGGCCAAAAACCAGCTCATCCGGGGAAATCGTATGAAAGGGATCCATTGCCTGTTTTCCTTCATTCTGGCAAGTGCTCCTGCTGGGGTGAATTGTCTCCCAGAGATTCAGGGCTCCAGCCCTTGTGGGCTGCCCCCTAACATTACCTCTATTTGCTTTTGCAAACAAAGATGAGCTGCATTTCGATCCCCCCCCCCCAAAAGCTGCAACTGCTATGGGTGTCTTCTCAGATGAATCATTTGTTTCAATGATCCTTACACCTAAGGTGGATGTGCATACAATTGTAGCCTCAATATTGTCCCTCGTCTAAGAGTCCATGCTCATAATCATTCATCTGGAAATTATTTAATTTAAAAATGCCTATCCAGACAAGCAAATGGGAGATTTACGAATGGTCAGTTTCTTCAATGAATGGTTACATGGAGCAATGAGTGAAATGGACGCATGTCCAGTTTGGAAGAAGGGCAACTCTCAGAATCAACAGAGGGTTCCAGTGATGGTTCACTGCAGAGAGGTTACTTCAGTTTCAATGTATTCCCAATCTCCTTCCTGGGCAATACCAAGGCTACGCTACCACAGTATGCATCAAACCTGGTTGCAAAGTCTTTGTGGGGGGGGGGGTAAGGAGAGTTTTGTCACTCCTTGATCAGGTGCTTGTATTTCTGATGCAGATAAGGTGCAAATGGACAGTTTAAAAAGTTCTCAGCTCTTGGGAGGACATTACAAAAAATGAAAGCATTACAAAAAACAAAGGCACCTTAATGGCTTAAGCTTTCAGAAAGGGAAATATTCAAAAACCAAAGGGATTGTATTTCATGCTCCCAAGACACTCCATAGATGATCTGAAATAAAACGTTCTTGAAAAAAGGAACTTTAACGGCAGACACCAACCTGAGATTACTGAATCATAGTTTACCAAGAGTTTGTGGGCAAGAGTTTTACCAAGAGCTGTGTTAATGGCTCCCCTTTCACTTAATTTTACATACATTTAAGCTTTAGCATTCTTGTCACAGTCTGAATGTTTTGCATTTCATTTACATGGGACCTTGCTGTTTCCATTTTTGAAAATCTGCATCCATAAATGTACATACTTCCCAACTGAGAGTAACATTTCATGCATCTGGGATTCTATTTCACAAAAGCTTTTGCCATTTTATAACTCTTCTCTCTGTCTCTCTGTTTTTAGGGTATTGCGACACTCTGCGTTTTTCCCCCTTTGGTTTGATGGGGGATGATGGGTCTTGTAGAGCAGAAAAATTAAAGCCTCCCAAGTTGTCCATCCTGGGTTATAGTATTGTTTCCCACTTATTTGTGGGTCCAAGCAGCATTATCACAGGATGTTCATGTATGTACAGATTTCACACAATTTAATCAACTGCATCAATTTATTTTGGTTCATCTCGTTATCAATTCATTTCCCACATCTCACATCTTTTATTTTAAATAGCACCATCAGTTCACATGTACATACTGCCACTTTGCTAGAGGCTAACAGATCTGAAACTTGCCTGCTTCATACAGACTTTGTAATGCGTAACTTCCTTCCCCTGATATGGAGGTGACTGGCTGAAGAGGCTGTCACTGGAAACTGATCCTCACAAACTGGAAAAAGCAGTTGCCAAAGCACCACCCTTATTACTGTACTTTTACTATAGTAGTATACTGTATTGTCACAAACCCTAAATAGCATCTATGAACGCCATCTACTGGATGCAGAACTAGTCACATTGCAGGATTTACTACCGCTCAGTCTAAACAAGCAGTCCTCTGTACATGTTCTTTCCGATGAGGGTTTCAATGTGCAACTCTTCTGTCTCATTTGCAGAATTTTATGGGGGTGTTGAAATAATTACACCATTTACTTGTACTTCTCCCACATTTTCATATCATTTCATCCATATTTTCTTACAACTGAAAATCCATTAAAAGCACAATCCTATAGAAGTTTAGAGATAACCCCCCCCCTCAATTCCTACTTATGCCAGCTCAGGGGATGCAGGGACTTCTAGGTCTTTCTTTCTGCTGAAACTGCATGGGATTGCATCCAGAAGTATAATCCTATGCCTGTTTAGACAGGAAAAAGTCTGACAACTCCCAGTATTTCCCAGCCAGCATGACCAGCAAGGGAATTCTGGAAATTGCCAGACTTTTTGTGTCTAAACATGCATAGGATTGCACCCTGTGGAAGAAGAGACAGAATAGCTGTGCAATACCATCTAATTAAGGGGCTGCAGGTGGCGCAGTGGTTTAAACCGCTGTGCTGCTAGGCTGGTTCATTGAAAGGTCGCCAGTTCGAATCCACACAATGGGGTGAGTTCCCTTTGCTCTGTCCCAGCTCCTGCCAACCTTGTAGTTCGATAAAAAGGTACCACTTTGGTGGGCAGGTAACAGCGTTCCGTGCACTTTGGTGTTTGGTCATGTCGGCCACATGACCACGGAGACTGTCCGTGGACAAACACTGGCTCCCTCGGCTAGGAAACGGAGGTGAGCACCGCTCCCTAGAGTCAGGCATGACTGGACTTAATGTCAAGGGGAAACCTTTACCTTTACCATCTAATTAGTTCTAGGACCTCCATTTTTAAGTAGCGCTAAGGCAGATCATAACTCCAGTTGCTCCCTATCTTGTAAAACACCATTCAGGTAGACATCTATGATACCAAGACAACAAAGCTTTGAAGGTTTTTTTTTTTCATTCTGCCACTTTGTTTTTATACATTTGCAAACCTGCAGAACATGTGTTACGCATCAAGTGCACACTATCAAATCTCACACCTTTCTACATCCTTTGTTTCTGACTTCCCCAAAAACAAATCCAAGTTCATATACCTCTAAAAGACTGGCTTATCAGTTATTTCATTGCTCCTGATCTACTCATGCCTGAAAAATACCAATGTCTATGTATATTCACTTTCAAATAACAGAAAGCATATTGTTAACCAGATCACTGTTCTATTTTAAAAGTTTCAGTTTTTCAAATATGACTAGTGCCACATTTCTTGTTACTTCTGCTCTGTGCTTCTCATGGGATGAATTCTGAAGTCAGAAAAGATCTTGAGGCAGATAAAAAGAACAAAAGTCTGTCTAATCCAGCTTGTGTCACTGATATTGGAGGTAACATTACTCTTGTAACCAATAGCCATTGATAGACTTATCCTCCATTAACTTATCTAATCCTCTTTAAAAGTAGTACTTTAAAGTATGGCTATCACCATTTAGCTATGTGGAACTAAAGTCCATGTGGATCAAGTAGTTTGTCCTGAATCTCCCACCACTTGGCTTAATTTGGGGCCAGTGGGAAGGGTTGCATGCATAGATTCTCAATGTGTTACACTGTATGTTCTTATCTCCAAGCATGCGAAATCTGTAAAAACTTGTGATCTGTGAAATCTTGACAAATCTGAGCATGAAAAACAGGGATTTTTTTCTGCACATGTCCCATCAAAATTATAGCAAACCTGTGGAATCCCCATTCTTGGCACAGAACTAGGAAACATTCCAGGGGGGATTGTTGCTGGATTCAGTAGCATTTTTTCCATGCCTACATAACATTCAAACTCTGTGTAGCAACATTTGAGATCTGTTTTATGGACCAGTGTCCAAGCAACCCAGGCTTCACAGACAACGACATCATTGTGTCAGACAATATGTAGTAAAGTTTTCACCCCAAGGGCCTTGGCACAAAAGGAAAATCAACTTGCCTTTGACACAACTCTGAAACAAGCTCTTCAGTAAAGCAAGTGAATTCTGTCGGACAGAGAAGCAGATGCCAGGCAACTTCTTCCTCTATAATGAACATACAGATACAAATACTTGGCGACATCCTTCACTTGATGCCATCTGTGGTGAGACATTTTTTTCTTTTTAACACATACTCTGGAACAGGTGTTCCAGGTAAATGGAGAGCCTAATTAAGAGCCCTTTAAAGCTATCAACTTAGCTAGCTTTAAAGGGCAATTAGACATACTCATAGAGGATGAGGCTATCAGTGGCCATCACAGCAGGTACATGCTATGTTCAGAATGTTCAAGCAGTGTGATTGAATTATGAGCTGCTGGTGACACGGCCATAGCCCATGTCCTGCTTGGGGCTTCCCAGAAGTATTTGCTTGGTCATCATGGGAAACAATACTGAATTAGATTGGCCTTTGGTCCATCTAGCAAAGATCCTTTGTACCTTACACAACAGTCATTCTATTTTGGTGTTGACATGTAGTGGAAATATTCTGTAGTGATTCGATTTAAAAGCCCATTATTTTTACATACAGTTTTCTAAAGGGTGAATCATTTGACATTTGCTGCATGGATGCCATAGGGAATAATCATGAAGGACAAAATTGTATTACTTTATTCTGATGTCTCAGTTACAATTTAGTGGAGTCAAAAATAAGTCCTCCCACTCTTTGTCTAAAGGACTTGCAGCCACAGTCCTTTCACATTCCTTTCAGGGAAGCTCCTGCCCCCACCAACCTCTTCTCCCCCCCCCCCCCCCCCCCCCCCCCCCCCCCCCACCCCACCCCACACTATTCATTCTTAAGTTTTACTTGATTGCAATATTTTGAGAGTTCTGGAAAGAACAGTCATACATTGAGGATTCTTCCTATTCTTATATTTCAGTAAACATCCCATAGCTACATTCAGTTACATATTAAAGAGACAGAGGGTCAGTAGTTGTGATTTTAGCTACTACAGTTTTCAAGTAAATATACTTTAAGGTTAGGAATTGCAGAGATTCAGCATCTGCCTCCCAACGGGCTACCATGTTTAAGACCTCAATGCCCTGCTCTCCCTGTCACTGTGGATCTTATCCTATTGTCTGGGTTGTCCTTTTTTCTGCTTTTGAGTTTGATAACTCCACCATCATCCGTCAGGCTCACAAATTGCATCAAACTCTTCAGGTGAGTAAGCTAAAGTACTGAAGAGGGAAAGAAGATGGGATCTGTTCTTCAAGCTACCGATACTGAGCTGGAATTCTGTGGGCACGTCTCAACAGTACAGATAACCACGATTTATCTTATCTATTGATTTATTTAAAATTGTTTGTATCCTGCCCTTTACAGTGTCTCATTAGAAAGAATGAGGCAGTGACTTCAGATGGCAGGGGTTGGAGATGGCAGCAAGGTGTCAGAGGAGAGAACTCTGTGTGAGAAGTAAATTTATAAAAAATAGACTAAAATTACAAAAGCACTTAAGAGCAGTGGTGGTGGGCAAATAACTAGTGCTTTCCAGAGGTAAACAGAAGCACTTGACCAGGAGAAAAGGCCTGAGGCCCCATTGGCATGAAGGAAGAGACAGGGTCCTGCAAGAAGCTTCTGCTTTCTTTGGCTCTCCTCATGGCACCCCAGATGCTCTTATGAGCTGTTCTGACCACCTCTGCATGGAGCAAAGCAGCTGTCACTTCTGTACCTGGGCAGGACAATTCCACCCCCCCCCCCCCACCAGCTGCCACAAGCAGGTCAGCTCATGGCCCAATCTATGGCTAGTGGCAGGGGCTCACGGTGGAAGAGGGAAGAAGCACAGAACGCCTGTGAGGCAGGCATGAGTGAGACCAAAGGCCCAGCTCAGAGTACAGCTTAGCTATTCCAGACAAATGCATTGCTAGCATTGCTTCTTTTGCATCCTGGATACAAACATTTTGCAGCTGTACAATTTGCTCCAAACTTGGATTTCAATTGAAAAATGGTATTATCTGGAATAAACTGTGTAATACCTGACTGTTCTGTGTACTGCCCACCTTGATTTTATTTTATTGCATTTCATTGAAGGCTGCATGTTCATGGGGGCCTTAACATCACAGAAATATCTTTCCACAACCCATTAGTTATTATCTGCACATTAGCAGCAATGTCTTTACTTGAGGAACAGGCTGGTTAGACTGAGGAGTTAGGCTAGAGCCAGAAACCTTATAGCAAGTCTGTTGATCCTCAGGCTTGGTACCCCAGTCCAGCACTCTGGGGTTCTGCAAAGGCCACACTCCAGAGTGGTTCCCCTTTCCTTCCTTCTGCAGCTGAATTGTTTGATGTTTTTCCAGCTTGTGTTTCCCTGCTGCCCATGCTGAACAGTTGAAACAGCTCTCACAAGGCATAGCTTCTGGCAGCAAGAACTTTAAGCTAAAATATGCAGAGCCTTGGGAATTTGGCCCCATTCCTTTTGCCTTCCGGCCTGCCTACCTCTGGAATGCCCCCTTCTCTTGTATTACCTTCCTGTGTAAACTCCCACAAGTCATTAGCCACTTAGAATTAGTGCTTCCCATGAAGTTCCTGCACTTCAGCAGATCCCCTTGATTCAGGGGTGCAAAATTTCTGAGAACTGAATTCAATTTTTGCCAAACGTCACATCCCTCCATCATATGAAATGATACCTTGACCATTGAGGAGTGACGTTAGCATAGCTGCTCTTTTTGCATCATTATTTGACATGCCTATATTGTTGTGATTTCTACCTTAGCTGTTGTATATGGTAAAATATTTGACATTGTCAGGAGCACTCTGTTTAATAAACTGTTTATGAATTTATCTGCAGATGGCTCTACTTCCATCTAGTGGCAATATGATGCTATTGCACAATATTGCATTTAAAGATATAACCTCTGTGGGGTGAGGTCAAATCTTTCTCTGAGTACACCTTTCCCTGCAGGCCTTATAAAAAGACTTATAACATAGTCACCTACAGTGCAGAAAAACTGTGTCACAGGAAGTTGATGTCCTCAGATGTCAGCACCCAACTGCAGACCCAAATGTAAGAGCTATAATGGGAAAGACACTCTCAAGGTTTGCAGAACGATTTTTCCCCTTTAAAGTGTTAGCAAAGATCCTTATTTGAACACACGAATATGAGCTAATTTTTCTTGCTAGTGTCTCTTGTGAGGAGCACATTGGTTTTGCCCTTGGTCATTAGCCTATGTATTAGACACTAAGGCTTAGACAGAATGTTTGCAACAGGCTTACAGAAGCCTGGGTTCAAATTCTCCTTCTGGCATGAAGATCATTGAGTGACCTTGGGCCAATCACATGCTCATTCTCTCGCCTTAACCTATCTCTGGGGTGGTCAGGAGTGTAAAGGTATGTAGTGGTGGTAAAAAGGCTCATTAACAATATCTTGGAAAATGCAGAGAATACTTATCAGATTAGCAGATGACATAAAACTAGGCTGGATAGCTAATACCCTGGAAGACAGAAACAATATTCAAATAATCTTGATAGGTTGGAGCACTTGGCTGAAAGCAATAGAATGAAATTCAATAGGGACAAATGCCAAATTCTGCACCTAGGAAGACGAAACCAAATGCATTGCTGCAAGATGGGGAGTACTTGGCTCAACAATACTGCAAATGAGAAGAATCTTGGAATTGTTCTAGATCACAAGCTGCATACGAGTCAACAATGTGATGTGGCTGAAAAACGGGCAAATGCTAGTTTAGGCCACATTAATAAAAGTATCACTTCCAAACCGTATGAGGTACTAGTTTCCCTCCATCCAACACTGGTTAGGCCTCATCTGGAGTACTGTGTCTACCTCTGGACATCACAGTTTAAGAAAGGTGCAGACAAGCTGGAAAGGGTCAGAGGAGGTCAAAAAGATGATCCTGGGACTGCAAACAAAGCCTTGTCTGGAGAGATTGGAAGAACTGGGTATGTTTAGCCTCAAGAAGAGAAGATTGAGAGGAGATACCATAGCATTCTACAAGTATTTGAAAGGCTGTTACAAAGAGGGAGAATCTCTTTTTGATCATCCCAGAGTGTAAGGATGAGGAATGATGGGCGCAGGACACAGAAAATCAGATTCTAGCTGATCATCAGGAAGAACTTGCTGTTAGAGCAGCAGACAGTGAAACCAATGACCTAGGGAGGTTGTGGGCTCTTCCACAGTAGGGGCATTCACGATGCAGCTGGACAACCATCTGAGAGTGATGCTTTAACCTGGAGTCCTGCATGGAGCAGGGGGTTGGATCTGATGGCCTTCTTGGCCCCATCCAACTCTACTATTCTACAGTTTTATATGTCAGTCGCCCTAAGTGGGAGACGACTTGACAGCATATAACATTTCACTTCCCACTGCTCCACCAAATCTTTCTGCCTGATTTTTTCTTCTTCTTTGAAATCAAATGTCATATGGGTTCTTAGGCGACAAGTCCCTTTAAACACCCCCCCCACCACCTTTTCAAAGCATACATATAGTCGCCTATGCAAATTCGTGCCCCTTTTTTCCTCTTGAGGGTCTGAGCTCCGGACCTTTTCTGTACCTAGCGCCGCCCTGGCACGAACCGACGAGGAATCCCGTGGCGCCTCGAAAGCGTAATTTTATTCCGGCACGGGCTCGTGCTGTCTCTTTAAGAGGCGGGGCTTCTGCCCTCCGCTACATTCGCGGAAGTCGGTGCGATTGGAGCGCCGCGGGCCGTTCGCAACGTTCGAGGCGCTCGCCCACCGCTTCTATGGAACGCGACGCTCATTGACAAGCAGAAGCCGCGGCGTCGGGGAGGCGGCGGCCCGCGCAGAGCCGCGGCCGTGGTTTGCTGCCGTGTGCTCGAAGGCGGCACAAGCCCCAGCCGCGCAGGATGAGTCGGTCTCCGCGGAAGCGGCCAGCCTCGCAGGCGGGACGTGGTGAATGAAAGGAGGGCTCCCCCGCGGTGAAGGAAGCCCCAGCGCGGCAGCGCAAGCCCGCCGTTAGCTAGCGCAGAGCCGCTTTGGGTGAGGCAGTACTGATGCGGTTTGCAGCTCCAGGCGCGCTAGAAGTCGGCGCTTCTGGATTCTGCGTTTGCTGATCTGTGAAAGATCTTAGGTTGATGCCGCTTCCGGCCAAGGCCTTCTGTTATGTAAAACAGAGTATGCGGGAATATCACCTTTAATCGCGGCGATGCAAGGCGAGCTTTTTGTGCTCTCGACGGCCCCCGTTTTGGAGCGTCTGTTTCCACTTCTGGGGTTTACGATGTCCAACGTTTTCCTTGGGGTCGAGAGCTCTGACGGTGTCCACCTCGCCCCTTGATGCCTTCATCTCTTCACCAAGATGATGGCCTATTATTGCTGCAAGGCCTGGACACTCCTGTCACGTGCCAGAATTCTCGCCGCCAGGCGATCTTTCTATTTACTGAGCGAATGGGGTAGGGCCCCAGTTAGACACCTCGCGAAGGATGGTCAAAGCTGGTTCCCATGCCGAGCTTTTGCGAAGATCACTTTCGTGTGCTGGGGGATTGGAGGACTGTCACAGGGGGTGAGGTGCAATGGTGCAGCCTACAGAGATGCCCATATCATTGGAGATGCCCTCTTTCCCAAAGGGAGTCTTTTTTCAGTTGCTTTCCTAAGGTGGACTTGGCTAGCCTTTTCTGTGGTGATCCGAGCCTGTGTCCTTTTGCTGAAGTTCGGCCCATTGGTTTTGTTGTATCCCTTTACCTACTTGTCTCCCAGCTTCATGTCGCTCTGGATCCATCTTCTGCTAAAGGTTACAGAGTCCTCTGGGCCCACGTATATCAAGCTGGGCCAATGGGCCAGCACAAGACGGGACCTCTTTTCTGAAGAATTTTGTGTCAAGTTCTCCAAGCTTCACATCAAAGTGATTCCTCATCCTTGGGCTTACACAGAGTATTCCCTGGGGAAAGCATTTGGGGTGGGCTGGGAGAGAGTCTTCAGATTTGAAAGCCAGGAGCCTGTTGGATCTGGTTGCATTGCCCAAGTATACAAAGCCTACATGGACCTTTCTGCTGTTGGAGAGCCAGTGCTGAAAGAACTCTCAAAGAACTCTGTGTTGGATTCCACCTTGGAAACCTGGGAGGTCTCCAGCCTGAAGGGACTCCTCAGGTGGCTTTGGAAGAGGAAGCATAAAGGTGTTTTGGAAGGATATGGTGGGAATCAGTTGCATCATGAAGATGGCTTTCGAGAAGGTGCCAGTCAGAATTCTGTTTCTGGGAATCCTAGCAAACTGCTCTCCTCTGCCAAAAGGGATTGCCTTATTCCAGTAGCCATTAAGGTAAGCCAAGGCTGCACAGCTGTACAGATAAGGCTTACCTGGGAACAAGGCCTGTTAGGAACACAGAAAGCTGCCTTGCACTGAATGGGTCTATCTAGCCCAGCATTGTAGACACCGACTGGCAGTGGCTCTCCAGGTTTTCAGGCAGGAGTTTCCCCAGGCGTTCCTGGAGTTGCCAGGAATTGAACCCGGCACCTTCTGCTTGCAAAGCAGGTGCTCTACCACTGAGTTAAAGCTGCCAGTGGATAATGCAGGTAGGGAGCTGCAATACTACGTTTTGGTTTGACTTTTGCCTACTTATTTTACCTGTTCTTAATTATGAGAAGAGACCAGTTAATAAGATTCAAAACTGCCTATTTAAAACTTGCACTTGGCTTCTGTTTCAAACATTTTTGAGCAAAACTTACTGTGCAATAAAGTCTTCATAGCAGCAGGGTACCTTCTCTGTTTGAGAGGTTGTTGGATGCTCCAACTCCCATCAAGATGGGCAACACTCACTGGAGGGCCACAGCTGCCCCAGCCTTGTCATAAGCAGATTTCTGTTGATGACCACACCACAAATGTTACAATTCACTGTCTTGTGGACCGTGAGTATATTCTGTGTGCATAAGAGTGACTCTGATTGTTTTTGCCTTTTGTCTAGGTATTGCATCCTGGATTAGTTCATCAGGTCCAAATGGATCTGTTTCTAATGAAGACTGGCAGTCGATTCCTTGAGCTTCTCCCTGGAATCAAGTGGCTTAGCCTGACAGAAATTGTGGAAGAGTTTGAAAAACTCATGATTCAGCAGGTGGGAAGCAGTTTTGCTTGGCATGTGGATTACACGTCCCTGGATCTTCTACAATTTCATTCCACCCATCCTCTCCCACAACTCAGCTCCACTGAAATTAAGGTTTTATATTACCTTTTCATAGCCAACTTTTGAAGTATTGATTTTGCTGAACTGCCTTTAGCATTCCAGAACTTCAGGCACAAACAAATTATAATAAAAATAATAATAAAAATAATGGCTATAATACATAATAGCAATGTTAGCAATAATACAGTAGAAATAGTGATCATGATAATAAATACTAAAGAAAAATATCTGCATTGTGCTTCGAAACTTTTAGGTTCCCCCCTTTTCCCTGCAGTTTTTTGTCCTTCTTCCTCCGTGATGGCCCATTGATCACAGTAGGAAGAAACAAATTACAGCAGCTCCATCTGTGGGACTTGCTGGAGGACATGTTAAGGGAACAAGGCGGCTTAGGAAATCTAGGATGAGATACACTGCATGGGCCAAGGTCACTCAGAGAGCTTCGTGAATGAGTGGGGATTTGGGTCTCCCTGGACCTGGTGTGACACTCTGAACACACCACCACACTGGCTCACCAATATTGCTTCTAATTGCCAGTCTTTGATATAGTCTGATTTCTTTGTCCCTGATTATTCCTGATTCTTTCACCAAGATCAGCTGTGTACGTTAGCCCCTATATGGAAGAAACATTGGATGGGAGGTGAGTTGGTGTTCTGAATGGAACTGCAGAGACCATCCAGGGACAATTTGTTTCTAAAGCTTCCCACTGGTTACTCCAGCTGGCACGCAGGCACTCAGCCTTTGCAGTAGGCACCCTTCCTTCAAGTTCTCTTTCCCGGTTTCCTTCAGATCGACTTGCACTATGAAGCAAGAAACCTGGAAAACTTCCGCCTTAACTTCCGCGATGTGGACTATGTGAAATTCCCCATTCCCCTTCATCCTTTTGTAACAAGAAACATCTTAGTGGAAACCTTTGAGGTAAGAACATGGACTGTCAAGCAGCAATGGTCAATTTCTCCATCTCTGGGCAGCTGCCATAGAGAAGGAACTTTATTTGGCCTGACAAATGGGTCCCCCCACAAGTGATGGTCTTGCAAAGAAAGAGCACATGGTAGCTCTGGAATGTCATGGCTTTTGATTTGAAGGTGATAGTCATTAATGCCAGCTTGGGGAGGCCATTTTCTGTAGGACCACAAGAGAAAGGGAACGTTTACACCAGCGTTCCCTGACCAGGTGTCCTCTAGATGCACTGGACTGTGACTCCCATCCTTCCCAGTCAGAGTGGCTTTTGCAGTCAAGAGTGTCTGTGGGGTAACAGGGTAGTAGAAGACTTGGGTTTAATCCTCCTTATGTACCTTGGTCCTGATTGCTTCCACTTCTCTTTTCTGGTACTTTTAGCAGCAGCAATAATGTGCATGTTAACTGGCTGTGCACCTCAATATCAGGTGTCGTTTGGGTCATAGAAAAGTTGGAAGGGGGCTGTAAAGTCATCAAGTCCAACCCCCTACCCAGTGCAGGGCTCCAGGTAAGGTATCACTGTCAGATGGCTGTTCAACTGCCTCTTGAATGCCTCCAGTGTGGGAGAGCCCACAACATCCATGGGTCATTGCTCCATTGCTGTACTGCTCGAACAGTCAGGAAGTTTTTCCTGATGTTCAGCTGAACACTGGCTTCCTGTAACTTGAGCCTGTTATTCTGTGTCTTGCACTCTGGGATGATCAAGAAGAGATCCTGGCTCTCCTCAGTGTGATAGCCCTTCAAGTATTTGATATGTTGCCTTCTGCAGAACAAACATGGATGGTATATTTTATCCCTAACCACTGAAAAGAAACACAGGATTGGGGTTGCAAAATTGGAAGTGGAAACTGGGTAGAACAGTGTCACATCTGCAGATTACCACCTATAATGGGTGCACAACCTGCAGCCCAGAGCCCGTATGTACTCCTCTGAGGCCTGTATTGCAGCCTTCCAAGGAGGGATGAACCTTCCTTTACACCAAATTTATCTCTACTGCCCATCTCTTTCCCCAGAGACCATCGTGCAGATCACTTGGAGATTAAAAGGTTGTGTGGCAACCCTGGCCTATGATAAAGATATTTTGGCTTCTGAGGGCTACAAAACCCCATTGATGGTTTTACACTTTGCATGGCATTATTCAGTATTTGCAGTCAAAACAATTATTGAATAATCTTATGGTACGAGAGCCAGCACTGGATCACTTTTAAGCGAGATGAATGGAATCAATCTTCTTCCCTCTTGAGACATCCTTGCTATGCTCTAAAGGGCCAGTAACATGTATCTGAAGTATTTGCCAGGAAGGATGCGCAGGGCTGTTCAGATCGAGCTGATTTGTCTCTGTTTAAGGAAAGCAAGCCCATATCCCACTATCTGCACACTGAGGCCACAATGGAGCTGCGGCAGAAAATAGCCAAGATGGGTATGGACATGCTTCTAAAGATGGTAAGAAGACCTGGTTGTCTCTTCAGTTTTTTATATCAGGGATGGGTGTTCCAGTCCAGGATTCCTGGGTGGCTAGAAGGCCATACTCCTCCTCCTCCCCATGCTTTTCTCCCAGGCACAATTTTTCCCCTCTCCTAAGGCTCAGTTATTGGCAGTCTGCATCAATGAGCTGTTGTTGTTGTTGCTGTGTTTTGGGGCCTGCCCTTTCTACATTAGGCCACACTTGCCACTCATATATGATCCCTGAAAGCAACTCTGAAGTAGAATTTGGCCCTGGGGCTGAAGAAGTACAACACCCTGGTTTAGTTTTTGCAAACAGCCTAAAAGCCAAGGAATTAGTGCATAACTTTCCAAGTTCTTATAAAATCCCAGTTCTGTGATCAGAATACATTATGTAGTGGTCAGACTTCCAAAAAAACAGAATAAGGCTCAGTTCATTTTAGCAATCCAAGAACAGGCAGTTTCTGAGTTACAAGTGTCTGAGTTATGAGCAACCTGTACTTATAAATGAGCTGCCATAAAGCTTACTAATTTTTAAAAAATTACTGTGGAAAATCATCTCCAGAGAGGAAGTGAAGGGGAAGAGAGGGAGGCCTCTAAAGACTGCCTTCCTGCTCTACCCATCCAGAGAGGAAAATCTCTCCACCATTTCCTTGCTGCAAAAAGGAGGCACTGGTGAGTTTGCAGGGGGTAGGGGCTAGCAATAGTAATGCTTTTCCGCTTTCACAGGGGTCCTGCACCCCTAATTCCTGCGAATGTGAAGGGCTGACTATACATGATCTGACTGAGATAAAATTTGACTTAAAGATGAATGTGTGGTTTCTCAGGAATGGAACTTGTTCATAACCTGGGGGCTGCCTGTATTACCAATGTTGGAAGATTTGGGATAAGTAAATACTGATCTGACAACATGTTTACTCAATATACTTGAGCTGTAATCCATGAAAGACAGGATTTCTATTGAGCGAAAGGATAACTTGTGCATTGCATATCCCAGTCGTGCTGCTATAGAGACAAATGATGCTCTTGGGAGCATGAAAAATAAAAAGTTCAGAGATTTTCTGCCAACAGGTTAACTCTAATATTGAATTCAAAGATTTGTAGTGTATAGATTGGAAGGGAAGCCCATCATAGCTGCAGACCAGGATGCAGGCTGCACATAGCGGGGATTAAACCACTTTACTTTGCGCAGGATTCCAGCCTCAGACCACAAGCCAGCACTGAGCGAAGCAGCCTTAAGCCCCCTGATTACAGGGGGTTTAGAGGCATGTTTGACTTTGTGTTGGGTTATGGCTTGTGCAGGAATATATTTCTCTTTGGCAGTTGAATGAGGATCATTTACAGGAGTGGTTCTGCAGCTGAAGAATAGGTAAAAGTATAAGAAGTTGCCTTTTGTTATATTCCTCTGACAGCCCTGCTGGAGAGCCAGTGTAGTGGTGTTGGACTGGGACTTTGCGAGCACTCAGTGGGTGACTCCGGGCCAAACACTGCCTCTCAGCCTAACCTACTTCACAGGGTTGTTGTGAGGATAAATGGGAAAGGAAGGCAACATGGCAAACTACCTCGAGTTCTTTGTAAGATGGTGAAGGCAGGATATAAATGCAACAACAACAGTAATAGCATCCTATACTGGATCCATTTGTCCATCTGAGCATGTATTCTGGGGTCCCAGGCAGAGGTCTTTCCCATTTCCTACAACTGAAACCTTGAAATCATCATCATCATCTCTACTAACGGTAATCTCAATTGCCGTTATGAAGCCAAAAATGTTACCATATGTGTACAGGAGAGAGGTACCAACTATCTTGAAGAGACTCTTAAGTTTTTCAAAAATGCAAGAAATATTTAAAGGAAAAATCTTAGAGGGTGGGGAGAGAACCCCCCACCTGGCACAGTAAGGGCGAAATGCTCCATGGCCCTGGAATGCTGATTAAATGTTGAGGGTGAGATTCGGGAATCAGGACCAGGGCAGGAGTAGCGGACGGCACACGCTGCATCGTGCTGCTGGAGTGCCAGTGCTCTAGCTCAGTGGTGTCTGCTTTAACTGGCCATTGAACTGGTCTTTCCCAGCCCTGCTTCCCACACAGTGTGGCCACTCCCAGACGTGGTTGGACTACTGTTGCACTGCAGCTCTCATCAGCTCCAGCCTAAATAGCCAGGGTGGATGAAGGGCATTGTAATCCCAACACCATCTGGAGGGCCACATGTTGCCCATCCCAGGAATCACACCTGGGAGCATTTGTATGTAGAACAAGCTGCGACCAAGACTCGTCAAACAGCGTATGTGCAAAGGAGTCATGAGAAACTACGTTTGCTTTCTCATGCCATGATTTTCAATGCTTCAGGTGTTTGTGGATAACTTTGTCCACGCTGATCTGCACCCTGGGAATATCTTGGTCCAAGGAGGAAAGTGCTCCGTTGACTGCCTTGAGGACCGGGCAGCCTCTGCGGACCTGTTGGACATGCTGGTTTTGGAGGTGCAGCCTCCTTGCTCCCCGCTCCGATTGGTGGTTCTTGATGCAGGAATTATAGCAGCGCTGCAGGGGACCGACTTTGCGAACTTACGGGCCGTCTTCACTGCTGTGGTACTGGGGCAGGTGAGCTCTGAATCCAGGGTGGGCCTTTGGCATTTTGAAAAGCCCATGGACCCCTTGGCAATCTCCCAACTGATTTATTTCATTTTTATCCTCTTCTTCCTCCAGTGACCATAGGGTGGCTTGCAAGATGCTCTCCCCTTTACCATTATGTCCTCACAACAACCCTGTGAAGTAGCTTAGAGTGAGACAGTGGGGCTGGTAATCGGGTTAGGTCACACAGTGAGCTTCATGGCGTACGATGGAAGCACTGATCAAGAGAGCACACCTGATCCGTGCATCCTGTTCCCCTGCTTCTCAGAAAGGGGTGCCTTTGAGATGTAAGCCCAGTAATGCACTCTTTTCTTCTTCACACATTATCCAGAAATGTGGAAAGACAATACCTGACTAAGAGGAGCCATACTGTGTGAAGTGGATCTTTGTTCTGTCCTGAATATCTCAGCAATCTGCTTCATGTGGCAACCCTGGGTTCTAGTATTATGGAACAGTGAGAAAAGTGTCTGTCTGCTTTCTCTAAACCATGCATAATTCTGTGTACCTCTATCATGCCTTCTTGTCTTTTTTCTAAGCCAAACAGTCTCCGGTGTTGTAACCTTTCCTCATAGAGGAGCTGCTTGAGCCCCTTGATCATGTTTCTTGTCCTTTTCTTTGCTTTTTCCAATTCTAATATCCCTTTTTAGGTGTGCAGATCCTTTTTGGCACTTTCACAGTTGCACATGTGAAGCTGCTATGTGCCAGTTCAGTGGTAAATTTCCCTGACTTTTTAAAACCAGTTGAGAGAACCAAGAGCAGGTCCTGGGCTTCTGCACTCTTCAGCACGGTCAGTCCCTTTTCGTTCCCTTTACCATATCCATAGTTTGACATTGTGTCTGTGCCAAGCGCTAACCATGGTTAACATTAGCCAGAGTTGCCCTCTTATCAGAAGACCCAGTGTGGTGTTGTGGATAAGTGTTGGGCTGGGACTTGGGACTTGAGGTTTTAGTCCCCATTTGGCCATGAAGCTCACTGGGTGATTCTGGGTGGGTGACAGGCTCTCAGCTGAACCTACCTCACAGGAGTGCTGTGAGGATAACCTGGAGAGGAGGAGGATCATGCACTCTGCTGTGGGTTCCTTGTAGGAGAATAAAATTTGGGATATAAACGTATTAATAAAATAGAGTTTGAAACTCCCACTTTGAATAAATGTGTGAACTTGTTTAAGAGAAAGGACTCAATGTTAACCACGATTCTTCTTGATGCAGGTGTTATAACACTAAATCATGGTGAAGGCAAATAAATGTTTATAGAATTTGCCTTTGAATGGGGAAAGAAGGGAGTCTGGGGCTAACTTCTCATCTTTGAACCATGGATAAAGAAACAGAAGTGTTATGTAGATCCTTTATGGTTCTACTTGCTGGTCCATTCTATCCATCAGTCTCCATGTTATCTATGGAAGATGGATCTGAATGAGTGACCTAGATGAAAACAAGTAACTGGAGCTGGAGGGGAGGGGGAAGAACCTTTGAAGGGGGATTTTTGAAAGTTCTCGCTTAGTAAGGAACATAGCCTGAATCTGGCTTGGCTAAGTAGCCACTTTTTTGGTTTGTTTCACAGGGGGAAAGAGTGGCAGAGCTAATCCTTCATCACTCCAGAGCAAACCGGTGCAAGGATGTGGAGAGGTTCAAAGCTGACATGGCAGAGCTGGTGACAAAGGCCAGGCACAACACTATCGCACTGGGGAAGGTCAGCAGACTGAGTCAAAGCTGGTTGTCTTCTCCTGAGTGTAGCATTCAAAGCATGAGCTTAGCCTGTACAAAATGTCTTCCGTAGAATGCCCAAGTCCACCATAAGCAATCACCCCATTTCTGGTCAGTCATAGTTTCTTCTAGTGTATCTATGCAGATGTGTGTGTTGCATGCATGCATGAGAGAGAGAGAGAGAGTTAAATAGGTAACAAGACACTTAAAATGTAAATATATTCAGATTCAGACAGTTAAGAATTAAATTGAGGTCATCAGAATTACAAGGCCTCTGAGATCCCTTGGACAAGGAAGGCCTGTCATCCAGGTGAAACAAACAACCTATAGGTCAGCCTTCCCCGACCTGATTCCCTCCACATGTGTTAGACTGTAGCTCTCACCATCTGCAGGCAGCGCGTGAGCAAACATGCAGACATGGCATTCCTTTTTAAGTTCTGCCAATTCGTTGTAGTTGTGGCCTCCTGCTGAATCAAACTGATGGCATTTCTCGCCATTTGCATTCCAGCTTCAAGTCGCAAGCCTGCTGTCCAGTGTTTTCAAGTTATTGATGACCCATCAGGTGAGAACATGTGAGAGCTCGTTCTTTTTCATCACTGTGTTAGTCCTTGCACCTTGAAGGATGTTCAACTCAGAAAGTCTAAGATTGCACCTTCTGTATATCTAGGTGCTCTCATCCAAATAAGGAAAACTTGTTCTAGCTCTCAAGTAAAAGTGTTGATTCTCGGGATGCTTAACGCTTCATTCAGTGCCATTTCTTCATTCTATATGCATATGGCTGTTCTGGAAGTAGATTAGCTGAATAACTTCTTTTTTTCTTTCAGCCTCCTTAGAAAGTGTCCTTCCATTTAAGATGGCATTGTGAATTTGGTTAATGTTTTAAGCTACTGTCAAGACTGTACATTCTTAAAAGACGTTTTCTATCTAAAGATAGCTTTTTAGGAATTTCATTGTTAGGAATCTCTATCATAGAACATTTCAGATAAGCCTTTTCCCACTCTGCAAAGTTTTGAATACTTGTGTTTGCTTTAACCTGGTTCGCACATTACGACAACTCAGGATATGGGCTATGCTGAGGCCTGAGTGTGTGCATACACTGTGCTACAGCTTAACTGTGATTTGTTGTCCATGAACAACCCAGATTTTACATGCCTACAACAAATCATGAGTTTGCTTCCTGGGTGGTTTTTGATTAACAACCTATAGTTAAACCATAGTGTAGGATTCACAAGTAATGACAATCCATGCTTCAGTAACAAGACATACTTTGAGCTGATGTTTACATAAAAACCAGGCCTTTCCCTGAAACACTAATCTGCTTTTTTACTTGGTGCACTTTGTGTTTCTTCCAGGTGAAGTTGGAGAGCAACTTTGCCTCGGTCATCTTTGCCATTATGGTTTTAGAAGGCCTTGGCCGCTCACTTGACCCTGAACTGGACATCCTGAAGGCAGCTAAACCATTTCTCCTCAAACCTTCAAGTTCCCTCCTTGAGTAGCAAGAGATGCTTGCTACTCAGTAGCAAGAGATACTCACATTGGCATATGTGGGCCTTAGCTCATAAGTTTACCTCTGAAGTGGTCTCCAACCTTACATCGAAAGTTGAAAGATTTAACCGAGGAGCACTGTTCTACTGATTCATACTGGGATGGGCACCATTCTCTCTCGATCCTGAAACTGAGGTCTAATCCCTTACAGCAGGAACAAGTTGTCCCCCAGATGCCATTGGACTGTGACTCCTGCCTGTCCCAGCCAGCATAGCCAATCATGTGAAGGGTGCTGGGAATTGCAGCCCAACAGGTGGAGGGGTGTGTCTTCCCCCGTCCCTGGCTTTTGGAATGCTCCATTTCAAGGGCACGTCTTCGCCACCAAGGGCTATGCAATCTCTCAGCAAAGCTTTCAGTGTAAATTGTGACCTTGATGGTGCTGGCTGCTGTAAGAAAACACCTCTGGAAAGGTGATTCTTCTAGCCAGCTTGAATCATTTGCACCAGGCTTAAGGGAATCAGCCCCATTTTACAACTTCAGCATTAATCCTACTCCCTCTTCAAGAAATGGAAAGGCAGAGATAACTTCCTTGTCAGACTGTATATTCATTCACTGGAAAGCAAATCATAGTCAATTAATATCACTGTGGTACATTATAAGGAAACACCTTCCCTTTTTTTAAGCTCTTGTGCAAGACTGCCAGTTGCTCTAAAACACATTGAGAAGAGGATATTTTTAAAATTCTGTGCTGCCTTCATTCAAAAAGCATTGAGGGTAACCAAAACATTTATTTTTATAAACAGATGTACTTCTATATATAATTGATATTGAAGAACTTGGATTGAATAATAAATGGTTTTATCGAGGAAGAGGTCCTTACCTTTGTCTAGTTTGGTGCCTGCCCACTTCTTTCCTTTGTGAGATGTTTGATGTTCCCTTTATGAGGAAGGAACTGTCTTGTAACAGAACCCACAGAGGAAGGTGGCCTGGCCAAGGCTTCAGCTGGAAGCCAGTGTGGGTGGAAAAGGCCCGGTGTTCTATAGTTCACACCAGCCGGTCCTGTTGTGCTCAGGTCTGTTCAGATTGGCCACTGAGCAGAATGCTGGACAAGATGGGCATTGGTCTCATCGTATAGTCTTAGTTTCAAATACATGATCCCTCTCATGCTATTAAGATTATTGGGGGCGGGGGGTGCAGCAGCCACTGCTCTTCTTGCCAATCTCCCATAACCTACAGACATGGATGTGCATGTTGACTGGGACTCAGAGGATCTGGGTTCTAGTCCCCGCTCAGCCATGGAGCCAGCTGGGTGACCTTGGGCCAGTCACAGACTCTCAGCCCAACCTACCTCACAGGGTTGTTGTTGTGGGGATAAGATGGAGGAGGAGAATGATGTAAGCTGCCTTGAGCCCTTTGTGGGAAAAAGGCAGGATATAAATCGAAAAATAAATAAATAAAATAAATGTTTCATATTTGTAGAGGGAAGCCTTGTTCACATCCATCATCTCTTTGTTTGATGAGAGTGTGAACAGGGATTTCATCTGATAGGAGGAGCCTATATATAAGTAGCAGGTTGTTGTCTTCCATGTGAGCAGTGGGGTCCAATTACCTGAGTGGGGAGTGTTCAGAGAAGGCCAAAAGCAGTAGCAACATTAACTGCATGCAGATGCCACCACAAAAAAAAAAAAAAAAAAGCAGCCAAGAAAACAGCAGACTTTTTGGTCACCTAAAAATTAAGCAGGAAGGAATGAGAAAGCACAACAGCCTTGGAGGGTGGCAACTAGGGGAGGGCCTTTTTGGTGGTGGCATCCCCCCATATTTGGAATAACCTCCTTGCTGCAGCCCACCTGGTGTCAAATTTGTCTTCTTTTTGGTGCCAGGTTAAGCCAGCCTTCTTTGCAGAGGCCTTTAAAGATCTTCCTGGTCATTCAGGGGCCTGATACAATTACTCAGGAGCCTTTTGCTCTAGGCCAGGTCTTTTTAATTGTCTTGAAATGTTCTTTTATGTTATTTTAAATTAATTTTTAATTCTGACTGTTCTTATCTATTGTATTTTATTGTTTTTATATTTTGTTGTACTGCCCAGAAAGCTTTGGCTATGGGTGATATAGAAATCAAATAATAATAGCAAATTTAATTCCTAAGGATACAATCCTATACATGTTTAGACAGAAAAATGTTTCTGTCTAAATTTGCAAATAATTGTGCTTTAAGGGGATTTTTAAAAAATCACATCTATATGGACAGGGCCAGTTTTCATATAGTTCGGGGGTGGCACTGGAGAAATCCCTTTAAGAAGGGCCCCAAAGGGGGACCCTACATAGGGGTAGTGTGGACACTTTCCAGTAAGCACCCATAACATTTTGAGACACATCTATTGCGCCAATGCTAGACATACATTACAGCTTTCTTCAACCTGGTGCCCTCCAGATATGTTTGAGTATAACCCCCATTATATCATGGCAATGATAGGACCATTAGACCAATGCATCTCAAGGACTACATTGAGGTACATTGCTTTAGAGACTAGTTCAGGTTTTTCCAAGTTACAGCTTGGGATACTGACTCAATTCACATGATCAAATAAGCCGTGAAATGTTTGTGAGTCTGCCTGCTCATTGCCATGCACTGGCTTGCTTTCTGAAGCAACCCATACCTGGGCTGTTTTTGTGAAATGCAAATCTGCCACTTCAGGTTCTTTATGAATTAAATCACCCAGCAAGAAACCATGGTAAACTCTGGATTATTTAACCCATGTCTGTAGTGCAAGAGGCAGCCTACCCATCACTATGCTTGTCCTCAGGAACTAATGTATGATGTGCAAACCAGGTCGTCATAAAAACCCACAAAACTGATTTCATTGCAGGATGGAGTTCAGAAAGTGTGTTTCACAATCCCCAACTTCGGTGCATATCAACATTACCTGATTTTGGTCCAAACATGGGGTTGTGCAAATGGCAATGCTTTTAGGACAGAAGGGAGGCACGAAGTGTTAAAAGATTCTGCTCTTGGAGATACTGCTGGAGGTCTTTGTGTTTCTGTTTCTCCTTTTCTACCTGTTGAGACATCCTCTCCCACTTCTGGAACACTTGCCGCTTGGCAGTCTCCTTCTCCTTCATCTGAATGTCCTGCTCCTGGAGTGCAGCTTCCAAGTTCTTTTGCATAGATTGCTGTCTGTTCCTGAGAAGTTCCTACAGAAAAGGATGTGAAATGAACTGAAAATCCTACATTTTGTAGCTCTTTTTGATCACATGAAGCAAGGACAGAATCATCTGATACCTGCAAGAATCATACTAGGATAATACTTAGGTGCAAAGGCACTTTGCAATCTGTCCAAGGGAGTTGGGGAATTTATTTCCTGGTGGTTTAAGACCCCAGGAAAGCCTAGGAGATCCTATTGCAGCAGATTGGACAAGATGGCTTATGAGATCCCTCCTTTTATAATAAATCCTCCAAAATCTTCTCATTCTCTCAATCAAGGCAGCCCTCTGTTTTATGGAGATGGGAGCATTTCCTTCCTTTTCCTGAGGACACAGTTCTGATCCAACAAGAGATGGGCAAGACTATTGGGCACCTGGTACCATGGCAAATCTCTGTCTCAAGATGGTCAGGTGTGCCCTATTGGACTGGCCAAGCATGCCTTTAGACATGAACACGATTGCACATCTGCACCACAACTAAATATGAATCCGTGTCAAAGAAGTGTATTCAAGCTGACATCTATTCTATGCCTGAATTCTGTGGCCCACATTAATCATACAAAATTAAAGTACGTGCCTATAATTCTGTGCAGGTTGCAGAATTCAATGTTCCTAGGGATAGAATTTTGATCAGCAATTCAGAGATTTGCTTGCCACTTTCAACACTCATAATTCCCAAGCTCTGTCCTACATCCCCTCCCAGTATCCTCGAGTTCAACTATGCAAATGGATCAGAACTACCTAACATAATTTAACTGATCTAGGGATACCTTGGCACAGATTTTAGGTGCTCCTGACATGCAGACAACTCTGCCCTGTTTGCATCCTTCCCCCTTTAAAAAATCATTTTGAGAAACTGGAAGAGGGTGATGAGAATAGAATGCCTTACCAGCCTCCTTTTTTCACGGTCTTCAATTGTTTGGTTGTGTTCAGTCAGCTGCTTCTCCCTCTGCTTATGCTGTGCCCTTAAGAACTCTATCTTCTGACTCTCCTTGTTCCGTTCTTCATCCCACAAGCAGGACTCCTGCCTCCTCCTCTCTGCTCTTGCAGACTGGAGTTGCTCCCTGGGCAGCCCATTCTTGACACTGTTCTCCTGCTGCTTTTGCAAACCTTGCAAGGTTCTTTGGAGTGATCTCTGCCTGTTTCAGAGAAGTGCCAGAGAAAGCAGAGCACCTTTTGGGCTGTTGCATTCTACCTACTCCCAGCTCAGAACAATTATCCAGAAGGATACCATGGTCAATGATGCTGGAAGCCTCTGAGAGATCCAGCAGTTATCTACAGGGTTACAGTCCATGTCTCTCTCCCAGCGAAGTTGTTTGTGTGCCAAAGCTCAGCCTCAACCCCAACTAAAATGGATCCAGATAGTCTCATCCAAGAGGGCCCACCAGCTGCTCAAGAACATTTACCTCTTGTTGGCAAGCAGAAGCTCTCTTTTGAGGTGTTCCTCTTGCTGCCGTTGATCTTCCTTAAGCCGTCTCTGCTCCCACTTCTGACGTTTGAACTCTGTCCTGGCTGTGTTGATGTCTATCTCTCTCGGACCATCATGCAGTGCCCCTTTGACCAGTAATTGCTGAGAAGAAAGACTCCTCCAGAAGGGTTTCTCCAAACTTACCTAATCTATTTGGCCTCAGCCAACATGGGGGGTTCTCAGACTTGGCAGTTCACCAGAGAAAGGCAAACTGAGTAGAGCCCATGCACAGGAAGGACTTTTCCCCCTCAATAGCACAAGACTTGGGAGAGGGATGTACTTACCTGCACTGATGGTGCACTGTAGTTCCTCCTGATGTGCAAAGCCGATCCAACAGCGGAATGGTCTTTCGTTGGGACTCGGTCCACCCTGCTGAATGTAGTCTTGGCTTGAGAAACATCTGCAATACGTGTTATTTGAGGATGACTCCTTTGGAAAGGTTGGGCTGAAGAAAAATGGCTCATGTTATTTTAACTGTTAATTATTTATTAACTAGGTTTTTGGGGTTTTTTTAGCCGAGAATGCACTGGGGGGGGGGAGTGTTATTTATTGTATTATTTATTGTATAATTTTAGTATTTATGTGTTGTGAGCCGCCCCGAGGCTTTGTTGCGATGGGGCGGCATAGAAATGGTTTAAATAAATAAATAAATAAATAAATAAATAAAATGTTGGGCTGGGAAAAGGCAGGCGTATAAAGCAAGTCTACACGTTAATAGGGTGACAGGTCATTAAAAATAATAGCACAGATACAATAAAGTAATTGGTGTTGAAATGCACACACTGGAGAAAATGTATGGATCTCCAATGGCATGATTTGGATGGTTGGAATGTGTTTGGAATGGGCAGAAATGA